TGAACAACATTTAAATTTAGTCGTTTTTTTTTGTTTATACTAGAAAAAATGAAATGTTTTATGTCATTATTTATCTCTTCTATTTGTTCCATTAATCCATGACTATTCTATATGTTCTTTATCAAACTATAAGAGGATGTTAAAAGGAATTAAACTAGACATTCCAATGTATTATTCACTTTTTGCTATCAATGTTTTTCTCTATAACTTTTATTCATAAATTAATAAAATAGTCTAAAGGAAGATAATAATGTTTGAGGCATTATCTTGTTTTTATTGTTTTGAGTAAATTAAATTATCAGCTTCTTTTCTGTAATTTATCATACAAAAAATAAATACTTTGTACAACATAACAAATTCGAGGTAGGTTTAGTCTCAAAGAAGTTAAAACAGATGTAGTTAATAAAAATACATAAAATAAAAGGAGATATAAAATTTATCACAAAAAAAGTGTTTTACTCTTGTAGTTACTTTATAGTGAGAGACAAATATAAAAGATAGAATCATTTAAGACAAAAAAGGTATTACTCTTTTGTTAACCGTTCAATAAGCCACATATTCCAATTGTTGATGGGAACATGTTCTTTCATACATTCTTCATAAAGCATTGTATTATCTTCAATAATTCTATTAGGAACAACGATTTTAATTGCTAGTGCAAGAGAATTAAATAATACCTTTCTGTCTGTTTCATCGTCTGCTTGATTTAACTTGTATTGTTCAACAACTTCTGTTAATCTTTTAATTTCATCTTTAAGTTTTTGTTCATCAGAAATTTTACTTAAAAGTTCTTCTTTTTCAGATTGAATCTTTTCATTTTCTTTTTTCATTTCAGAAATGAAAGATTCTTGTGATTTTCTATTTTCTTTTTCTGTTTCAAGTTCTTGTTTAATTCTTGAAATTTCATTTTGATAATCTTGAATCATTTTATCTTTTTGAGCTGATGATGAAAGTATATCAACTTGTACTTTTCTTAGTTCATCACATTCTCTCAAAGTTTGTTGTTGAACAGACTGCTCTTCTTCAATTTGTTTCTTCAAAGAATTATTCTCTTCTTCTTTTGAGATATTTTCTTTTTCGAGCTCTTGAATTTTTTCATCCTTGAATTTTTCTGTTCTTTCCAAGTCTTCAATTTTTTTATTCAAAGAAGAAGAAAGTGCTTCAAAAGAAAGTTCATTTTCTTTACTTCTTCTTTCATGCTCAGTGTCTTTAAACTCTAATTCTTTATTTAATCTTTCTATTTCTTGTTTTTTGATATCATTTTGTTTTTCACTTTCTATTTTTAATTCCTCAAGCTTTTTTAATTCTAATTGACTTTGTTCTATTTTGATAGTTTGTTCTTCAATAGAACTTTTTAGTTTAGTAATTTCTTCATCCTTTTCTTTCTTTTCTAATTCAAAAACTGATTTCATTTCATTAATTGTATTATTATTCTTCTTATTATTCTTTTCAAACTCTTCCTTTTCTTTGTTCATTTCTTCTTTCATTCTTTCAATTTGGCTTTCTTGCTCTTCTAACTTTTCTTTAAGTTGTTTTTTTTGTTCTTGTTCTAACTCTAAATTCTTTTGTAATTCTTCTATCTTTCTATTTTTTTCTTCTACTTCTTTACTTTGTTTTAATTCTGTTCCTAACCCCATCATCCTTGGACTTATAGTTCTACGATTTTCTTTCATTTTTTCTTTTTCATCTAATCTTGGTGTTTGTGAATTTGGAAGAGTGTTTCTCTTTTGACTTTTTAATTCTTTTTCCATCATTTTAATCTCCTTATTCTTTTTGTTAACTGATTCTTCCCAATGTTTTAAATCAATCATAACTGGATCTTTGTTGAGATCAATTATATTAGACTCATCTTCTGTTAATGACACTTGTTCAAACTGTGATAACATTTCTTCTAACTCATTAGACATCATTCCAAGATTCTTTGCTTCTTCAGGGACTGAAGGATCATCAAGATTAGGCCAAACAATACGTACACTTTTTGAACAATCAAGCATTCTTCTAAGACTATTTCCAATTCTATTTTTTAACGTCATTTTTAATTGAGCATTTCTTTCTCTAATTCCTTGTGCAATTGTTTCCATTACTTCATTGTCATCAAATACATTTTCTTTCATTATAAAGAAAGTTAAATAAAAATAAAGACAATAATCATCTACAGTATTTTTCTCAACAAATTCCGCCTTAATTAACTTTGGAATATTTAGTCTTTGGTATGCAATATCAATACATCTTTGTATATTCTCCAAATGATTCTCTGTGAAAGATGTTAAATTAATTAAATCATTTTGAAGGTAATTAATTAATTTTGCAAATAAAATACCTTCTGATAATTCTTTTTTAAGATCAAAGGAAGTGTCTTCAATTTTAAGAATTGATTTTATCCACTTAGTAAAATCAATCATTTTAACAGGACAATCTATTTAGTTTAATAATAATTTATTATGAATCTAAGATAAAAATAGAAATAAACTTCCAAGTCTATATTTGCTCAATATTTGATACATAAATGATAAAATCCCTTTCTTTTCTCCATTAAATATCTCTTCTGCAGATGTTAAGACTTTAATCCCTTCATCTTTTGCAAATTGAATTACTGCACCTAAATTTTGTATTTTTTCAATATCCTTTGACGGTGTTTCTATTGTTTTAAGAATTTCTTTACCACTTAGATTCGTTAAAAACCGAATTAAAATTAACCCATCTTTAAGGTCTGTAAGTATATTACTTACAAAGGGTTCTTCAATAAGAATATAATTGATAAAATTTGTGTATGCCTACAATTCAATTATTCTTTATGTTCTTATTACCCACTTATTTTAATAAATGAAACAAACATAAAGTTGTTGTTCTTCTAAAATCTTTGTTTTAGAAGCAGCTTTTGTGAGTACTGAATCTGACATGAAATAAATACTCAAGTATATTAATCAGTACATAAGAACCCTTTTTCACTTCCTTCTTTTGTTCATTTCCTTGTAGAATTTTCTGTAATTGGTATATAAAACATTGAATGATTTAAATTGTTAGAATTAAATTAAGTGTTAGGTTTTATTAAGAACAACTTTTCCAGAATATAAAAATAAAAACCAAGTATGAAGTTAAAGAAATATGACTTAGTTTCATTGATTAAATTCAGACATTTTTGTTAATAAGAAACTAACACAAAATGTTATTGTTAACAGTACAAACAAAGAACACAGTGCTATCTATTGACATAAAGAATATCAAATTCTTATTAAACTCAATAATAGTTTTTGGTTAACTATGTAATTAACTCTCTTATTTTTGTGTTTCGAATAAATATAATTCAGTATTGTAAATGCGTTAATTCGTTTGTTTGTTTTTGAAACAAGACATTAAAGATAATTGAAACTACTGCTTTTACCTCTTATTAACTCATTTGTAAACTTCTGTCCAATTCTGAGAAATTAATAATGTTGTAGTAATTTTATTCAGTCAGTCTCCAACAGTTCTTTCAATCTTATTTATAGTAATGATACTTAATGGCTTTTCTTCATGTCTTGATAAACCCATCTTTTATGAAGCTTGAAAATCTTAAACAAAGAATCTCTACATAAAAGTTAAACGTAAATTTTTTACCTACCATATTTCTTGATATTATCAATGATATTCTTTGAAAATTGGGATACGAACTTTTTGTTCTTTGACTTATTGAATTAATTAACTGAAGATAGTGAGATCTTATTTTAAACAAATAAAATGAGGATAGAAACCAGCTTATAATAACACCAACTTACAATTTAATGTTTCTTCATTTTTTATCTTTAATCTATTCTTAAACACTATCTTTTTGAGCTGATACTGTTCATTAGTTAATTTACTTGGTCCTAACATAAAGTAGATTTACACCATCATTTTTTGTATTTTGCTCTTTGTTATAGTCAATTTTGATTATGAAGAGCAACGATATAAAAGAAATAAATACCCTTATTACATTTATTTGAGTTTCTTTTAATACTGTTATATATATCATTATTCAAAAGATGAATAAATTTCAAATAGTAATAAC